AAGATCACACAGCTAGGTACAGGCAGAATTTGAACCTTGACAGTTTGCTCCAGAGCCTGTGCCCATGAGCTCTGTCATCTGTGTGGCTGTGGGGAGTTTCAGAATCCTTGTCCTGAATAGTAGAGAGAGTACAGATTTGGTGTCCAGAAGTTAGCAGCTTCAGATACTAAGCATAATTGTTGACTAAGTGCTGCTCATTAAAGCATCTATTTAAAAAGTAACTTTTTAAATAGAATTCCCCTCCCCTATCTACTTTTCCACAAATGTGAATTAACCAACTAATATCTTCATTTTAGAGTTTAGATGGTACTGTTTAAGCATAGGTCTGAGGCACAGTTGGAGGGCCACATAAAGCACTAACTAGTTTGCTGACGATAAATCCATATCAGTGTAACCTCATTTCCTATCTTAGTGACTTAACTTGCTATATGGTCTTCACTGAGCCTTTGAAGAGTTTTCTCGTTTGTAATAAAGGAAAAATGTCAATCTTTTGGAAGGACATGAAATCATTCATATATTCAACATGTGTTGAACATCATTGCTTGAGGAATGGAGGAATAGTGCTAAAACTATCAAAGTTCTTATATTTATGAAGGTTAGATTTTATTAGAGGAAGAATATGGTAAAGAAATTACTACATAATATTAGGTAGTAATAAAGGCTATGAAGAAAAATGAAGCTAGGTGTAAGTTTAAATGTATCTACTCATTGATACATCTTTCAAGAAATGGAGCTTAAATTGCCTTCTCCTGAGTGTGTGCTGGTATAGTGACCCACTTGCCCTCTCACATTAGCATTAGTAGAGATGCCAATGTACATATTCTAAGTCCAGATCATAAAAGGCATGTTCCCTCCTCCTTGCTTTGTTTTCTTGTATCACTTCTTCTGGGAGAAAGTAGCAGCCATGTCGTGAGGGCACTCAAGCAGCTCTGTGGAGAGGCCCATGCAGGGTTCTTTCCACCCGCTAGTTAGGCACTGAGGTTTCCTAGCAATAGTTACTTGAGTGAGTCATCTGGAAGTGGATCCTCTATCCCCAGTCAAGCTTTCAGATGACTACAGCCCCAGCTGACATATTGATAGCAATTTTATGACAGACTCTGAGTCAGAACCCAGTTAAGCTACTCTGAATTCCTGGGTACACAGAAACTGTGAAATAAGTAAATTTTGTTTTAAGCTGCTAAGTTTTGGGGTAATATGTTATATAGCAAAATATATTATATATCATATAACTAATACACTGGGTAAGACATTAGAGATTGTTATGATGGAGTTTTCATTTTATATAACATTGCTAAGGAAGACCTCCTTGAAGATGTGGCATTTGAACAGGGACTGAAATAAGAGAGTAAGCAGGTCGGGAAGCTATCTATGGATAGAACATATAAGACCCAGGGAATGGCAACTGTAAAGGGTCTGAAGTGGGCACATGCTTGACATGTTTGAGGAGCAGTGGGAGGTCAGTGTAGCTGAAGTATTGTGATACAGGGGAACAGTGATAACAGGCGAGGTTGAGAGATAGGTAAAGGGACTGCATTATAGGGCAAAATGAGGATTTAGAATACAAGCCAGAGTACATTGGGAAAACACTTGGAGGTTTTAGAGCTGTGATGTGGCATGATCAGATTTATGTTATACAGGATCATGTATGTAAGGAATGTGGGGATTCAGGTAGATCCTTGACATATGGTAGCAGATCTCACCACAAAGGACTAAGGGGAACAATCCCCCCAAAATTCTGTTTGTGATATGTAGAAATGGCTGCTGTTGCCTTTTTATCTGTTGAGCTCCACTATAGTGTGATTGAGCTGTTATGAAGACTCACTAGTTCTTGCTTTATCCTTTGTAAGTAAAGGCAAGTGAAGATGCTACATACCTTATAATGACACTAATGTTTGTAATTACATTATGATTCACAGGAGTGGTATTTTTCTGAGACTGTTAACTAAAAAGTTGAGCCTGAAGCAGTAGCTTATTAATGTACAATCTCAAATCCTGAAGTTCAAAGATAACCTAGGTGTCAGTTGGACCAATTCTGAGTTTTTAGATTGGTAAAAGAGAACCCCCCCCCCCAAAAAAAAAAAAAAAACTAGTAGAGGAAGGAACCACTTGAGCACATGTCTCTGTTTTTTTGAATTTACACCTCCTTGAAAAAGATGGCATTAGGGTCTGGGGACATAGCTCAGTTGGTAGAATGCTTGCTTCACATGCAGAAGGCCCTGGGTTTAATCCCCAGCACTGCAAAAAAAAGAAAAGATGGCATTGAGAATTGAACCATTCTTTGCTCACATTAGGGACCACATTTCTATTGACCATATTCAAAGTTGGAAAAGGAAGAAATAACTGGGTTCTGGTGACTTCCACTCCAGAGTAGCTCAAACAATATTTTAAATTTTTTCTAATAAAGGAAAAATTAAGCTCCCTGAAGATGTAAGTGTTATAAAACTCTTGGCTTTTTATTCATTTCATAAAGGAGATTCTGAAAACATTGATAGGCCCAAATACTTAGTCTACATTTAAGTGAAAATGGCACTAATTGAATTTTAAAGATGAATGTTGAGCCCTCTAAAGCTGGACATCTGAGAAACCATATTCATAAAAAAGCAGTGGAGTTATCATAGTCAGTTCAGGTCAGCATTTTGTTTTTCCTCTGATGTGATTATTTTGAACAGTTTTAATAGAACATAAATTTTTAAATTGTGCTCTTTGTAGCAAATATTGGAGAGAGTTGAAGTTTTGGTAGAACCATAATCTTAGATCTAAATATAACCCTGGTTAAGATTTAAGATTTTGGGATATTTATGTGTGTGTGTGTGTGTGTGTACACAGTACATTTTTTATTCTTATTACAACAGGGATATATATTCACCATAGGAAGTTTAGAAATTCTGCATAAATACAGTGGAATTAAAATCTTAATTTGAGAACTGCTTCAATAAATATATTGCAAGTTGAGAAAGCTTTTTCTCAGCTGGGCATGATGGCACACACCTTAACAAGTCTAGTGACTCTGGAGGTTGAGGCAGGAGTATCGCAAGTTCAAAGTCAGCCTCAGCAACTTAGCGAGGTCCTAAGCAACTTATTAATACCCTATCTCAAAATGAAAAATAAAGAGGGCTGGGGATATGTCTCAATGATTAAGCGCCCCTGTGTTCAATCCCTGATACAAACAAACAAACAAATAAAAACAAACAAACAAGCCAAAACAAAAAACAAACCTTTTTCTCTACTTGTGATCATTTAGGATGCGATGTTTTGGTTTTGTAAAGTTAATAGCCATTAAACCTTAAGAAAAATACAAGCATTTTTATATCTGGGCTTCTCATATTCAGAAAATTTTGAGAATGTCAACAGTTTCAGTTTGTAGAGGGTTTAATGAACTGAGAGTTGCTGATGATCCCCAAGTTTGGATAGGAAGGAGGACTGAGTGATACCAGATTGTGCGGCTAAATAAGCTGGAAAGCAAGAGCACATACAGAACATTTATTTATACTGTATTTTTATGAATGACAGAGGAAAAATTAGGTATAGCTTTGGAGAAGAGATCAGAATTTGGGCATCAGTATCAAAGAAAAGTTATGATGATAATTGGAGATTTATTAAAGTTTTTTAGTAATTGAAGATGAAACTAGTGGAGACAAAAAGATGTTTATGATGTTATGAACAAGTCTTGTATCTCCAATTTGGTCTTAAAGACATAATTCACTTAGACACTTTGACCTCTCATAAATAAGATAACCATATTCCTTCTGCCCTGAATAAGTAAATATTCTGCGGGTAGTACAAGCAACTATTCTTTAACATAAAGAGTTACCTTAGAAACACTCACACTGGCTCTATCTTAAATCACTTTTGTGAGGCCATTTTTTTTTTTTAATGAAGAACATGGATTTTGGAATTATCTGACTCCTGGGTTTGAATTCTTTCTTTTTAATTAACAAGTTAATTATTTACTTAATCTTGAGAAAGTGATTTGATCTTCTGTTATGTAACTGAACATGACAGTACCTACATATTAGAGGTGTTGTAAGAATTAAGTTGATAGTAAATGTACTGTATGGAACTTAGCATCTGGTATATCATAAGCCCTCAATAACTATTAGCTGTTTTCATGAAGATGAGGATGGTGATGATACCTTGGGTTCCTGGTTTGGGCTTTCCTATCTAAGTTCTTCTGTCCCATTAATATGACCTGACAGAAAATAACATTAGGAAGCAAAATATTGGTTGATTTGAAGCGGATGGCAGATACCACCCATTGATAGAATAATGTCTTTCAAATGATGATGGCTTTTGGAAAGAAGATTTGTTTAGTGTTGAGTTTTAATTTGAGTTCATTCATTCATTCATAATAGAACTAACACATGAAAAGTTCTTTGAGTACCTAGTACGCAAAAAACATTCAACAAATGTTGTGTCATTGCTAGCTGTTACCATTTGTTTATTTATTCTTTCCTTTATCCAACAAATATTTAATAAGAGACAACTAGCTGCCAATTTCCATGCTAGACATGGTGGGCTGTAGGTGAACTATATAAACAGGGCTTTTGCCATTATGAAGATGAGGTTATAGTGGAGGTTCCTAAGCCCTGGATTTTAGTGTCTTTGTCAATAAAAATCAAATACTGCTTTAAATTTTCAGGTTAATATCATCCTATGATACTTAGTTAACTGATTGACTATATGCTGAAAATTTGTTCAGTAAGTACTTATGAACACCTGCTATATGTAGCACTGTGCTGGTGCCAGGGATATAGCAGTAACCAGAGAAGATAAGATGCCTGTCCTCATAGAGCATTAAGTCAATCCATGAGGCACACATCGATGAGGTGATTAATATGATCAGTATTACAAAGGCCAAAATACTAGGTTTATGTACTTGCTTTGTGTAGAAGAAACTAAAAATGACTATTATTTTTTATAGAAGTGATATTATAAAGGATTTATCCAGTTAACCTTTTCCTCCCGGTTTGTGAGTTTACATTTTCTTTCTGCTGAAATAGGAGCTGTTGGACATCATGGAGATAACTTAGTAGAGAAAATCATTTCGGCGCTTCCACAACTTCCAGGCCACACGAATGATGTGATGGTTAATATGGTAGAGCTCACTGCACTCCAGCAAGAAGAGGAGAATCAGAATGTGGTTGCACCAGGCTGTCTTGCACAATCCAAGTAAGTTGTATAGTTTTGTTCTCTTGTTCTCTCTTTTCCCTTTCTTCTTATTCTTCACTGAGTATCCACGTTCAAAGAAACACTGATGAGTTGGTATAGTTGAAAAATTCATAATGGATACCCTTAGAAAGAATCATTTTTAAATTAAAAATAATTACATCCATTAAACATAACAATAAGCCACAGAGTATGGCATTTTACAGAAGTGTTACTTGGAGACGATATAAGCTTGTTTCTATTGTCAATTGAATCAGTTGATGTATCTCAATTTTACAGATAGTTTCATATGGAATTGTGACTAGGCCTCCTCATTTTTTTCCCATTTGACTAAAAAGTGACACATATAGCTATGAATCAGTGCCATCTTTTAATAAGTAAATGATATGCTCTTGGGCATCAATGGGAGAAGTTTTTGTTTGTAAGTATATTATTTTTACATGCTTAAAGCAACGAAAGATGGACTAGTATGTAGTTCAGTTAGTAGAATGATTGCCTCGCATACATAAGGCCCTGGGTTCAATCCCTAGAACCACACACACACACATACACATATAACAAAAAAAAAATAAAGAAAGAGAAAACATGGAATACTTGAAACCATACAATATTTCAGAATTATTTAAAACAATTATTATTGTTTTAAAAATTGTACAAAAAGGGAAAAAGATGTCTAAAACTGTTTCTCTTATTTCTGTTTTTAAGTAAGAATCTTTTGGCATTATAGTTTTAAATTTGAACAGTAATATATACATTTGGAATTTCCTACCATATACATAATTTATTTGAAACTCTTAAAATTTTAACTTTTTTGTGGATAGTTAATAACATTTAACAGATGCCCAGAGCGTGCATATGGATCAGCATGGGAAGAAAATGAAAAATTCTAGACCTTGTCTTGTGTGTGTGTGTGTGGGTGGGGGGAGGTACTGGGGACTGAACCCAGGGCTTTGTCTGTGCCAAGCTTGTGCACTATCATTGAGCTACACCCCTAGCTTTTAAAAAAAATTATTTTGAGGTAGAATCTCAGTAAATGGTTCAGGCTTCCTCAAACTTGTAATCCTCCTGCTTCAGCCTTCAAAGTAGCTAGAATTACAAATGTGTACCACTGCACCCTGGGTGACTGTCTTCTTTTTAATGCTTGAACATATGATAAAATCATAGACCAAGGGTCTGCAGCTATATAAACCTAGAAATAACTGTGGTTGTATATACTTATCACTATTAGAGGGCTTTTCAGAAGTTAATTATTAAGGATTTAACTCTGAGTCTTATTTTAGGCTAAGTAATATGAAGGACATAAAAGTATATAAAATATCATTCTAGCCTTTAAGGAACCCTTTTTCTTGTTTGTAACAATGATTTATCCCAGCTATAATAAGAACAAGAAAAGTCAAAATGATATGAAATCAAGACTAATGTGTCTGTGCTTCAAATTATAATTCCTATAAGTGAAGTATCAGGATAATGTTGTCTTTGTAGGGACAGTCTGGGCCTTATGGAAGGGGTGATGCTTGAATTGATTACGTCTTGAGAGATATAGAAAAAAGGAGGGGACTAGCATGAACACAGGTATAGAAACATAGGGTCTGTAGTGACGGGGTGTAGAGAAGAGAGACAACCTTAGTGGACCACTGCTGCCATCAACTCTGTGAACATTTTTCAGGACATATTACATGCCAGGCATAGATACTCCCAGGCATTTACATTTGGGGAGTCATTTTCAGTTTCACAGAAACCCAAATTGGTGGGTATTATCATTCCATTACAATTTTATAGGTAGGGAAACTGAGGCAAAGAAATATTAAGTAACATATTAAGTGTATAGAGGTAGAGCTGGAAATGAGCCCACCACTTCCAACTGTAGAACAAGAGCAAGCAAGCTCCCCAGAGAAGTTTGCAAAAGAGTGGTGTTGAATCCATCAATTTTAGTGAGCAGGAAAATACACAAATTCTTAGAAGTATAATAAGACAAATGTTAGAATAAAGGTGGCTTCGAGATCTATAACTTATGTTTTCATATGGTCAATTTATTTAATTTTGATTCTCAAGCATTCATTCTATCTTAAGCTTAGTTCAAGTGTCAGCCAGGTCAGTCTTTTTTTTTTTTTTTTTTTTTTTTTAGAGAGAGAGAGAGAGAGATTTTTTTAATATTTACTTTTTAGTTTTCGGCGGACACAACATCTCTATTTGTATGTGGTGCTGAGGATCGAACCCAGCGCCATGCACATGCCAGGCGAGCGTGCTACCGCTTGAGCCACATCCCCAGCCCGCCAGGTCAGTCTTGAAGTCCCATATCACTTGCCAGTGATTGATGGAGAAATGAGCAGATGATAAGAGGGAGTCTTCTTAGGACTTCCTGCTCAGATTTCTTTGCTTCTTTTTTCCCATTTTTTATTGGTACTTATAATTGTATATAATGATGTGATTTGTTGTTATATATTTATAAATGTACACAATATAACAATATAATTTGGCCAATATCATTCCTCAGTAGAAATACTGAGCAGGAATATATGAAGGACATAAAAGTATATAAAATATCATTCTAGCCTTTAAGGAACCCTTTTCTTGCTTGTAACAATGATTTATCTCAGCTAGAATTACAAATGTGTACCACTGCACCCTGGTACACATCTTTTCTTCCCCTCCTCCATGCCCCTGGTCCCTTTCCTTTACTCTACTTATCTCCCTTTGATTTTCATGGGTCCCCTTCCACCTTTCTTTCCTTTTTCCTCTCTAGCTTCTGCATATCAAAGAAAACACATGTCCCTTGACCTTCTAGGTTTGACTTATTTTGCTTATCATAAAGATCTCTAGTTTCATCCATTTTGCTGCAAATGACATTTCATTTTTATTTATGGCTGAATAAAACTCCATTGCATATACATACATTTTCCATTCATTTGCTAATGAATACCTAGACTGGTTCCATAGTTTGATTATTGTGAATTATGATGCTATAAGCAAGGGTCTGCATATATCACTGTAGCATATTGACTTTTAATTCTTTAGGATAAATGCTGAGGAGTGAGTGGTATATCTGGGTCATATGGTAGTTCCATGCCTATCTTTTGAGGAACTCCATGCTGATCTCCACAGTGATTGCACTAATTTCCAATCCCCCACCCCCTAAAAAACAATAAAAATGTGAAGGGAGAGCCTACATAATGGGAGAAAATCTTTGCTAGGAGCTCTTCTGATAGAGGATTAATATCCAAAACTATGTAAAGAACCCCCAAAACTTAAGGCCAAAAAAAAAAAGTTAATAAATAAGCAAATGAACTAAATAGATACTTCTCAAAAGAGCAAATACAAATGGCCAACAAATATATGAAAAAATGTTCAATATCATTAGCAATTAAGGCAATGTTAATCAAAACTACACTGAGATTTCATCTCACTCTAGTCAGAATGGCGATCATCAAGACTACAAAACAAAGCCGGGCACGATGTCGCATGCCTGTAATTCTAGAGGCTTGAGAGACTGAGGTAGGAGGATAGAAAGTTCAAAGCCAGCCTCAGGAACTTAGTGAGTTCTTGAGCAACTCAGCGAGACCCTGTCTCTAAATAGAACAAAAAATGGTTGGGGATGTGGCTAAGTGATCAAGCCACCTCTGGGTTCAAACTCTAGAATAATAATAATAATAATAATAATAAAAAAATGCTGAAGAAGGTATGGAGAAAAGGGAACACTTTTTACACTGTTGGTGGAAATGTAAATTAGTTTCTTTGCTTTTTAAAAACGATTTAAGAGACATACAGAACCTTCTATTGCTCCCATTGCTCCCCCAACTCCCGAGGGTTCTCATGTAAATCTCAAAACTGCTGCAGCCATCTTGCTGATGCCCAGAAGTTGATGCTAACCCATGGAAGGTACCGTGACAAAGATTGCTGCAAAGAGCACTATGGTTTTCCCCCTGTACTTTCTGGAGCTCATATTGTGTGGGTGAAAACATTTCCTTATTGTTTAAACCAAACCAAATTGCTTTTTTCTATTATTTGTAATCCTGGCACATTTTTTATACCTTGTTATTTCATCTATAAAACAAAGACATTGCTTTAACTGACTTCTAAGCCTCTTATTGCCCTTAAAATAATCCATCCTAACTCAACCCTTGCTGTGACTCAGTTCCACCTCTCAACACTTAGAGTATGTTCATTTATGTGTTTTTTCTTATAATTCTTTTTCTCCATTGGTGTTCTTCTCAATAGATTAGGAACAAATGTAATCCTAGACAATGGGCTTTGAGTGCCATCCAAAGATGAGAGTATATTCACAAATCTCAAAGATGAGTTCTAGAGGGATCTGAATGAAGAAGAAAATGAGAACAATTCTGATGAAATAGTGAAACTAGAAGTGAGGTTGTACATGATAAAGAGATAGGTGGTGAGAAAATTATAAGCAAAAATAGTGTTATGGTTTGGATATGAGCTGTCCCCTAAAAGCTCACATATGAGACAATGCAAGAAGGTTCAGATGAGAAATGATTGAAAGAGTTGTAAGAGTCTTAACCCAATCAATGGATTAATCCCCTGGTAGGGATTAACTGAGTGGTAACTAAAGTGGTAAGGTATGACTAGAGGAGGTGAGAATTAGGGTGTGGCTTTGGTGTGTGTGTGTGTGTGTATGTGTGTGTGTGTATTTTTTACTTTGAGAAAAAGGAAAAAGACAATATATTGCTTTGCTAGCAAAGGAGAAATACAGGGGACTCCTGCCCCAAAGTCTGTGATTCTACCTATCAGCAGGAACAGGGGGGTTTTAACGAGGTGATTCAGAGAAAATGAGATTGGAGAGATCAGGAGGGAGAAGATCAGGGAAAAGAAGATCAAGGAGGAGAAGATTAGGAAGGAGAAGGTTAGGAAAAAGAAGATCAGGGAAGAGAAGATCAGGGAGAAAAAGGTTGGGAAAAAGAAAACAAAAGCATGTAAGTTTCAAAGGCACAAGGGATATAGTCAAAGCATCAACTGAACTCCTGTTACAATTCCCCATTGTCAATTTC